GGCAGAATAGAAATGGAGTGAAAGAGGAGATATTAACTAAATTAATGGTTTTTTTTGGTATTATGTATAATGGGTTTGAGTACTCATTGTACTAATTTTTTTGACTTTAATAAGTTCAGATTGTTAAAAAAAAAAAAAAAAAAGTTTGACTCTGCTATCCCAAACAATTGCTACATGCCCTTATTTTTATTTTCCTTTTTTTTTTCTCCTTTTTTGTCCATTTCATTATCCATGTCCATTTTCAAACACATTTGCAAGAAAAGTGAAAGAAGAGGGTCTCTTTTTCTCTTTTTAGTGATTGGGTTCAGGTCCCCAACTTATGTGTAAGACAAACCTAAGTACAGTAGATAACTTCCTGCGTGGAGGTTGGTAGAATTAAGGTATGATGTTGAGCATTGAGGTACCGCTTGCACCTCCTTAATAAAATTATTTATGTTGCTAATAAAAAATTCAAAACAAAAAACATTTGCAAGAAAGGTGGGACTCACAAACGGAATTCATGTGACACATCAACGTACACATATCTTTGGTGCAGAAGATGAAATGGGTTTAAGTATATCTCTTTTACGAAGAGGTGCTTACAACCAAGGCAGGTCTTACATAATAAAGTTAGGCGGCCTAAATTTTGAATGGAAGAATAATTTATATGGTATGATTGGGAATTGCTATAAGATAATTGAGGCTCCTGATTGGGCATCAATGTATTTGCTCCAATTGCTATATATCGGTTAAAGTACCCCTTATACTTTAAATTTAATTAAAATAGGTTTTGCCTTTGAAAAAACTATCAAGATTTCCAAAACCTTTTTGCTTTGTGAAACTATTTAAGATGCCAAATCCCCAATTAGTGTTTCCTTATTAACATTTTTTTGCCATCATATTCCCTAATTAGTTTGGTGCTGAAGACTTTTTCCCTTACTTGTTGATCCTAACTTTCTACTATTAATTAATGCCATTTTGAATAACTTTTCTTGAAAAGTATTCCAATCTTTCAACTTAAGATCAAATCTAAGTATGGAAATTTTCTAGTCATAATTCGATTTTATTTTCTAAATTTGAAAAATATGTATGAGATTGCTACTTATCAACAATAAAAATGTAGTTTTAAGATAATTTCCCTTGTAATTTATTAGAATTGCATTTAATAAGCACTAATCTCAATGTATGTTGATGAAAGGAGACTAGTGCATAGCTTTGGCACTAAACATCATCAAGGGGAAGGGAGGACAAGGAAGATCATATGGTCCAATCAAAGTAAAATGTTGGCCCAATGTGTTAACATGATTGAACAAAATAACCAACGAACCAGGGAAGCGTTATGGTTCAATTGGTAAATGAGTTTGTGATGTTTGATTTTTTGAGAAGCTAATGAATAGTTATTTTCCTATGAATTCTTAAGTTTTAGTACGGATGGCTTGGGAGAAATAAGTTTTAGGTAGGTGCAAATTAGTTTCGTACAAACCTAATTGCTAGTAAAAAATTAAGGAGAGAAAGAAAAAAAATGATAATTTATTGATTTGAGTAGAAAAAATTCATTACTTTATACGTAAATTCTTAAATTTAAATCTTATAAATAAAAAAACAATTACTGAAAAAAACTTCCCTATTATGGATCTAATTTTACTCAACTCTGTATTAATTGGTTTTATATGATTTCTCTACGCCAGAGGTTTAGTAAAAAGTAGAAATAAAAAGAGATGGCGGAGAACAGGGAACGTGGCACATCTATAAATTATTCATTTTCATTTGTTACAGACCAGCATCCATTTCCAAACAAAATATTTGTTTTGATTTTTCATTCTACCAAACAAACAATTATTCAATTCATTGACTAATTACATTCAAGAAACAGCCAAAATCTTGAGCAGTCCGTCGAAAGAAACGCCATCATTTTCATCACCGCCGCCCAATTTGATCATGGCTCTAATATCGTCATCGGTGGCAGAGAACCCCGCCCACTTCATATAACTCTTCAAATCTTCATGGCTCAACCGTCCGTCGCCGTCCTTGTCCATGACTCTGAAAACATCCTTCATTACCTCAGCCGCCGCCTTCTTCTTGTACCCCAACACACGCTCGAACTCCTCGTACTCCACGAATCCGTCCCTGTTTAAATCCGCCACCGAAATCATCGATCCTATTATCTCGTCCTCTTCGCCGCCGTTACAGAACCCAGCGTAAAACGCGCGTAGATCTTCCCGGCTGATCTTCCCGTCGCGGTCGGTGTCCAGGACGTCGAATGCCGACCTGAAATCAGAGTTTGCGGCGGCCGTTCCAGATCGCAAGGTACTTCCCGAAGGGCACATTACGTGGAACGTGAGGAGTCTTAGGGAGAAAATTCTTTGAGGCTGTTGATGCATTTTGCGCTGTATAAATAGGCGGAAGAAAATCTGGCCCAGAATTTGTTGGCGGTTGAGGGTTGTGGTTATGCCCCCACCACGATGTCGAACCAATTTAAAAGTTATTTTAATTTTATTAATATTTTATTTGTTTGTATGGTAATATTTTTGTTTTATAATATTATAATTATAATATTACGTAATATTATTAGTTATACAATAAAAATCAATTCTTTTATATCTCTTACTTTATTCTATTTGTATATTATACTATTCGAATAGTTTTTTACATTTCACTAGATTAACTCTAAATTATTCAATCATTAGTTATAATATTTTTATATTTATTAAATAATAAATTATAACATCTAAAATATTAATTTATAAATTAATTTTAATTTAGTAAATAATAAATAATTATTATTTATCAATTATGAATTATTTTTACTAATTAAATTACAATAAATAAAGTTAGAATTTTTTTTATTATGTGTCTTTAAAATACAATACAAGATAATAGTATATTTGTTATATTTTTTATTATTAATTATATATAAATTTTCATAAAAAATATAAAAATTAACATTAATTTTAACATATATAGCATATGAATATTTTATTAAATAATTAATAAAATTATATTAATTTTTAATTTTATTATATAAGAATAATATTTATCCGTCTTATCTTTTAAAAATTAAGTGAAATATTATTTCAAAACTAAATCATTTTAATAAGTACATATTGAAAAATATTAAAATATTTTATTTTTAAAGTATAAATTAAAATTTTTTTATTTTTTTATTTTTAAAAATAAAATAAATAAATACTAACCCTTATTATATATATATATATATATTTTTTAAAATAGGTAATGACCCTTATTATATATATTAATAATAAAAATACATAACAAATGTACCAAGGGTACAGAGAGAAAGACCCATAAAGTTAGGTGATTTTAATAAAACATAGAAGCACCGTAATTGTTGGGACCAGGAAATTGGGAAGCAGAAGAGGATTGGAGGCAGAGTGGGGACAACACGTGGGGAGTTGATATACGAGCACACGTAAGTAGTGACGTTGGAAGTGATGGTGAACGTTCGAGATGGAGATGGAGACTCGAGGAATCTAAGGGTGGTGGACCATTTGGTTTTCACGAGGAAAACTTGTCCGTTTTGACTGGTAGGTTTTGTCCTGCGCTAAACTAAACGACAGTAATTTTCACGTGATGGATTTATAATTATGCGGTAAATCTGAGTTTTCACAAAATAATAATAATAATAATAATAAAATAATATTTATTCATCTTATCTTTTAAATATTAAAAAATATTATTTTAAAATTATATTATTTTAATTCACACATATTAAAAAAAATTAAAATATTTTATTTTTAAAATATAAATTAAGATGTTTTTTTATTTTTTAAAAGTAAGATGGATAAACATTAACTAATAATAATAATAATAATAATAAGTAACTAAATTTTCTGTTCAAAAAAAATAAAATCGACACTTTCAATCTCAAGCAAATGATGAATTTATGCTAACATGGGAAAATTAGACATATAAGTTTTAATATATTTTTTATATTTAAATCAAAATTAATTGGTATTAGATAAAATAACTTTTTTATATTTAAGTTATATATTTTTTTAATATTTTATGTAAAATTTTCTTATTTAATAGATAAATTAAAATTTTTATTAAAAAAATTTAATCTTTAATTTTAAAAATTAAAATCCACAGGTTGAATCTCAATTATATAATTGATATAATTTAAGTAAAATTTATATTTTATCTTATTTAAGTTAAAAAGATTTTGGACAAATACAACCTAATAAGACGACATGATATATTGGTGTTTATTAATATTTGTTTGAAACTTCTCGAGCCCTAGTAGTGGTTGTGGTTAAGATTGATGATTCATTTGTAAAGGTTAAAATTAAAAAAATTTTAATTTTGCTTGATTTAATTATTTTTTTATAAGAAATAGAGAGATATATTAAATAATAAAAAATTACAGAGTAAGTCTCTATCTCATGGCAATATAGCCTAAAGCATCATATTCTAAAGACAAAAATCATAAGTATAATCTACAATACTAGTAACAGATTTAAATTATGCTCATAACAGATATAGACAATTAAATAAAGAGAGTCATCTGCAACTAGAAATTGTAATTACAATCGTTATATGGGCTAAATAGAGCTACTAATGTAGAAAGGAGAGTCGCTATGAGCATCAGAAGTTACTAGACAAGTCCTCACCTATTTAACTAGCTTCATGAGGAGAGCAAGGGATTTCGGCAACAAACAATCCCCAACCCACAAGTTACCGCCTTATCTATTCATTGAGGAATAATCAATAGGAAGGGCATGGTCCACCATCCAAGCCCAGGCACCTCCCTCGTCTCCGTGAACTCCCAGCCATGGCCCTAACTATTCCAATCCTCTTTAATCCCAAGTTGTCGAAATTCATTAAGGGAACAAGAGCCCCTTTAGCGACTAGAATAACGTTCTCTCCTTGCAAAACACCATCGGCTTCACCAACCGCATTCCTTTCCTCCTACTTTCGGCCGAAAAAACCAATCAACCTCCAATGACAACCACCCGAATCAACAATTACAATAGCAACAGGGGGTTGTGAAACAAAGGATTGTTTCAGTTGAGAAACATTTGTCCAAAGCAGGGCCAATCCACCCCCATACTGACCCAACAACGGCAAAGCCGTATGCAAACCCTAGATCCAAACAAATCAAATGCATCGCAATAGTGGATCGCTTTGTTTCAGAGAGGAAAATGATGCTGGGCATGTGTAGGAGACAAAGTGGCTTTAGATATGAAATCATAGAGCCCTCCTCAAGATCTCCCTAGGCCAATATGTGAATCAAATCCAAGAAGGGAATAGGGAATCAAAACAAAAGTAAGAAACGGAGATGAGGGGCCCTGAAAAAATAGGGAGAAGCACCAAAGTGAGAGGCTCGCCCGCCAAAGAGGGAAAACCCTAGCAGTGGCGACGAGAGAATAAAAAAATATCTTGATTTAATTATTAATAATTAATAAAATAATTAATATTTATTACTTAATAAATTAAAATTAATTCAATTGATCTCAATGAATAAATTGATGTCCATAACTACACTTATTAGTTGTAGATTCATATGGTAAATTTTGTGGGATGGAATTGGATTAGTTTAGGATTTTCTAGAGATAAATAAATGAAGAATAAGGGAAATGATTTTGGGACAACTTTTTAGTACCATCTTTTTATACAACTTAACATGTTATTTAAATAATAAGTTATTTTAATTCATTTGAGACTTGTGATATTAAATGCATTCACTCATTTAATGGCATGAGAAAATTATATAAAAATGTGGTATAAAAAAGTTGTCTCTATAACACCGCCAAAGAATAATTGTGGGGTATAAGTATAATAACTAAGAATATTCTTTGCCATTTATGTTGAGAAATTAATGGCGAAAACTACAATGTGGCCCTTCAAATGTTAGAATTTTTACGTGGAGAAGCAAGGCATCTCTCATGATGTAGCCCTTCTATTCTTTTTAAAGATCATATTGAATCTTTTACTTGGTAATAAATAATATTTTTTATTACGAATATATAGATACGTAAATAATTAAAATTTTTTCGTTGAGATAGTTTCCTTTGGTTATGACAAAAAAAAAATATATGTTACATTTATTAAAAATAATAATTTTTATGGAAAAAAGAAAATATAGGTTGACAAGCAAAAACAATACAGGTCGATCTTATTAAAATGGTGTCATTTGGATAATAAAGGGAGAATTTTAACCATACCTTCTCGTGCGACCCCCTTTCTTCTTGAATTAGAAACCCCCTTCACCCCCTCTCCCTTCACCAAAGCCCATCGCTGCAAAAATCATGGTTGCCGACTCCCCATCGTCGCTAGAGGCTGCAACTATTTGAAAAAACTGTTGCATGCCTCCTATTTTCCTAATCACAATGAAACATGTTGAGAAGTAAGGTAAAAAATCTACAAGTGGCTTCAAGGCGTGTTGCAAATGCCACTTTCTTTTAGGCTAATTTCGCCCCCACCAGATCTGATATGCAAAAGGAGTAACCTGAAATGCCCGTATGATATAATGAAGTGCCTTGTTGATCTTGCTTTTGTACTAGCAAGATCAACCACTAAACCGCCCTTTGAAAGCGACAAAACAATAGCTTTTGTACAAGAATTTTTGCAGCAATCGAATGTGCAAAAAGGGGCTGTTTTATTTAGATAATAGTAGGGATTTGTTTCTGGGTTCAAGAGACAAAGAAGAAGAAGAGATAACTTCATATTTAGAGGGGCAAGATGTCTGTTGTGAACAGACGCTCCTTTTCAGTTATTATCAGTTTATTAACAGATAATAACTAAGTTATCATGAAATTTATCCATTGAAAACTTTTCCAAAAGTCATTTGGTTTGATTTGAACTCCAAATGACGTGTTTCCTTGCCTTCCAAAGTTATCCACTCTCTTCGTAAACTTATCTGAATTTTATCTCTTATTCTGACGTAAATGGTTCGAACCAAAATCGTAACTTTTCGGATTTTGATTTTACGTAAATGATTCGAACCATATAATTATGATTTGAACCAAAGTTACACTTGCTCAAATGCATTCTGTGCAATTGCTTCGAATCAACTTTTTGTGGTTCAAACCCAAATCCTAGAAATATTTTGAAAATTCTTCAACATTCCCCCACCATTTTCAAAATAAAATAGCCCACCAATTGTTTTGGAAATCTTATGCATACATGAAGGTATCTTACGATTTGAACCTTTCACTTAGTGAACATGTGTTGGCAAATTAGTCATAATTGCATGGTAGACTAATGCTTTGAACCAACGATTCTAAGTAATTAATTGGGCACATGTCACACACAAGACTTTAAGCTTTCCAAAAAAAGGAATTCAGCATCCACCGACACAAAAACTGGCCATGTGTCCTATATCCTTTTCATGAGTGTTGTTAGAGTCAAGTCCCCAACTCCTAGAAGCGACACCACTTCCACTCATATAGGTAGATCCCATCAAA